GCTCTTTCCCCTCGCGAAATGTTCTGATTGCTGAGCTCTTTCCCTGTTGGCAGAATTCGAAATTTGTGTAATGCATAATTGAAGACATGGCATCAAGGACGTTAAAACCTGATGACTGGCATGTAACCACATGGCAACAAAGGACATCAAAAACCTACGCAAAGCAAAAAACAAACATACATAGTCGAAAATGCCAGAATGACTATTTGCCTGGCCATAGAAAAAATTATTGTGGCGCTCCTGTTTAAAAACCGTGCATACGCAGTGGAACATCACCTCGTGGAATACCAATTCATCTCTTTCTGCACTGGGATTCGGAAAAGTTCATCCACGAGTATATGGTATAATGCTTTTAGAATCTGTGTCCCGGCGGAGTTTCTGGTTGTTTTATTGGATTAATGGGAAGATTGCACGTGCGTTTGCTTGGAGGATGGGGTTTTGGGCAATTTTCAGCTTCGCGTTCTCACTCTTTCCACGATTTTTTTGATTGTATGGTTCAAGTTTGTACTGCTTATGCTGTGTATGGAGGAAATGTTAACAGACCTGTCCACCATGCTGTCAATATTACACAGCTGGTTAGCTTTGTCGAGCAGTTTTGAAAGTAAGGGGTCGAATTTTCCTGAACACTCAATGGAAATATGGTGAAGTGGGAGCTGTAATTTGTTGCATACCAACCTGGAAGTGATTGTCATTCACGTTAACTGGATGAAACACGTTCAGTCCTTGCTAAATTGAATCCGTTTTTATGTTTTTAGCCCCCAATTTGTTATTGAGCCTTGAAAGATTCTACTTTTACCTCAAAGCCACATTTGTTTATTCTGCTAGACCACAAGATGTTTTTGCCTCCGTGATATGTAACAAATGTCTCGTGACACCCTATGAAGAGCAGCTTCAGACACGCGCTCGCCTGGAGCCCCCTGATCCGATCTAAGGGTCCCATGAAAAAGGAACACTCAGACCTCTCACGTTCGTGGAAAATTACGAGAAGCGTTTGTGTGACGTCCCTTGTGGTGCTGAAGAAACCACAGCTTTGAAGTGGAGCTGTGGTGGGGTTTCCGGGAGTGGCAGCGTTCCCACACTCATGCCGCCGCGCAGGGGAGTAGCTTAGCTCAATACGTTGGGGTATGAGCGGGGACAATAACTTGACCTACCCTCAGAGTACGCCAAAAAGGATTCCTCCTCATAGTAGTCCCACTGTTATAAGTTGGAATGGGCAGCTTGCCCCCCCCCCGCCCCCTAATATAAACAGGACATCACACCCATGCCGCGGTATTTGGGAGGCATTCCTGAAGTCCGTGTCGGGCACGGCGCCGGCGTGTCACCACCCGGCCTGCGCAGAGGCTGCGTCTCCGTCCGGGCCCGGCATGGGACTGATCCACGGGGGCGGCGCGCCACGGATGAGGCCCGGCCGAAGATAAACACATCCTTCGTGGCTTACGAGGCATGCCCGGTGTTTGGCGTATGTGGCTGTCGGAACGCCATAACTGTGTAGAAATGCCATGCCATTGGAGCTGTTCCTGTATACACGAACCGAGAACTTTTGATCAGCACGCTCACCGGAATCGGTCTGGATTCAGCGGCCCTGCGCCGGTGCGTCCGACACAGATAAAAACGGGCCGCGTGTTACAAGGAATTGTTCTCGTCGCTCTGGAACGCTAAAGGTGATCTGTTGCTCTCAAGTGTCACCATCATGGCTCGCTGGTGCACATCGTGCAACTTCTGCACACTACGACATATCAGCGGAAGTTTTTAGGAGGTCTTTTAGTGGCTTACAAATGCATTAGCTCGACCCTAAAAGGGGTCGGCTTGCAAGTAACGGAGTGTTGACAGATTCAGCGCTGGCCAGTTGTTAGTCAGGTCAAATATTAGTTATCGGTGAAGTAAACGAATGGTGCTATGAATTCTCCCGAGATGGAGGCTTCTTTACCGTGTTTATTGATGTTGAACGACAGGTATGAAATGCACTAGTTGTCCCGCTTTGAATTCAGGCCCATGAAAATTTGCTGGATGTGATGCAAGCCCGAATGGGCACACTTGTAACATATGATAGTGGTCAAACATCTGTATCCCAATCAGTTAGAATAGGAGGAAATTTCACGATGATTCGAAATGCCACGTCGTGAACAAACTGTATTTTCGCTTCGGCAACGACCGGTTGGTGTTCTTCCTCCTTACCCATCCCTAGAAGTCTCCAGGGGCCGCAAAATGGCAAATGGGGGCGACATTCGACAAAGGGCATGACTCTATTGGTGCATATGTTTCGCAAAATGTTTGCATTCAAGTTGCTGCGTGGCACGCTATGTGTGATCAATATAACGTGAAATTACCACAGCAATTACAGGTGTAACGCAACAGCAAGGGTGTAGCTTCCTATTCAGCTGCGTTTGGCGGGGGGAGCGCTCCAGCCCTTTTCCACCCAACTTTGAAAGGGCGCTGGGCTGAATACGAGGAGAGAGTCGTCTATTGACGCATTTCGAGGTAAGGTTTAGCTTCTTGGCCCGCTCAGCCCCCCCCCCCCCCCCCCCCACCTTCCTTCCCCGACATCCAGCCTATTTTCCGAAGCTGCACCGCTGCTCAAAAGTTAACCGACCTGTTAAATTCAGGCCAGCTCCTTGGAATGATCAGTTCCTTGGCACAAACGATCCCAGTGACATCGGTGATATATTTTGTGTGGATGGGTGCGTGCATGAGTGTCACCGTGAATGGTCGACATTTCACGGGACTGGGCGCTCACCCCCATTTAACGGGCGGCTTTCTGAAGATCAAGGCCCTGCTGCACCAATAGTCCTTCAGATGCGGAATTAATGTTGCGGAAAGATAACTTTATCAGCCTACAAAAGACAGTCGTAAAGGAGGTCCCCGGCAAACTGTGAACGAGCAAAGGGAAAACAGGCAGGGCCTGGGTGTCCTTATCCCGGCTTCATGTCTTGCCTCATCTGGAGATCTTGTCAGGAGGTGTGGACGTCAGGATGTTCGGCCCACCGACCGCGAATGAACGGAATTTTACACCTGGCCAATATGAGTCGCTGCATGCGTGTTTTCTCGCATTGTCACAACTATTGTAACGCTCAGCGCATGCAGGACAGTAAAGCTGGTTAAAGTGTAGGTTACAATAGGCGGGATTTTTGAAAACTACCGCTGACCTGAGACTTCCGATCGGCAGCAGAGCTTGCAAACTATGTGATACAACCGTCACTTGACCAGACTTGTTCCGGGCTCCAGCTATCCGATTTTAGGTCAGAATCATAATTTACCAAGAATTTGTCCAGCTCGGATTTTGGGACAGATAACGAGTACAGCAGGACTCGTAGCCATTCATACATCGTCTAGATCTTGGGACCCATGCATCCGCTGGAACTTATGACACATGCATCGCCCGGGCCTTTTAATGTACGCATCGCACGGACCTTGGGACCCCTGCCGCGTACTGACCTTGGAACCCATGCATCGTATGGACCTTCAGACCCAGCAATGTACTGACCTTGAAACACATGCATTGTATGGACCTTGGGACCCCTACATCGTGCTGACCTTCGAACGCATGCATACGCACAAACCTTTGGGTCCCTGCATCGTACGGACCTTGGGACCCTTGCCTCATTTATGCAACTCGAACACATGCTACGCCAGAAATGGCCTGATGGTTCGACTTAAATGACTAAGACAAAGGTCTGAATTAATCAATGAGCACTGAAGACTGCCGTCAAAAGTTCGACCCCATTGTTCAGTGTCTCTCTCTACTGATAAAGTCATACTGATTAAGTCAAATAGCATCCGATAAAACTAATGATTCTCTTAAATGAACCACACCCTTTATCACCTGACATCTGCACTTGAGTCACTATCGAACATTTTACGGTAACGTAGGCCTGAGACACCTGCACATATGGGTTTGACTTAGTCGTGTTTGCCGTTCCTACCGGGCACATTTTAGTTGTTCTAATTTAACGGTGTTTGATATCTATGCATTTGTGGAAAAGCACCACAAGAAGGCAGATATTTCTTACATCAGCATCTGCATGACGTGACGTAGTCACTGCTGCACCCAGTATTTACGTGGTCTTCCTGATCTTGTATTTTCTGGCATGATTTCTACTTTATGCCCGGCAATAGTCATGGTAACCGCTTTTCATGATGTGCAAGGCGGCCTACCCCAACAACACAAAAAGGCGTCACTTCTTTGATACAACTTCTACTTGTGACAAAAATGCATTTTCAGATTATGAACCGCACGACCGCGCAAATGTGCCGTTGCTGGCAATCGTGCTATTCAATTTTACCTCGATAATAGCGGAAGAACTCCAGACCTGCTTTTGCGCACTGCTCCAAGCTTGGAGGATGCATGCGGGGACGGATCTTGACGTTTTTGGCGTTGGGTGGGCTACACCGTTCTTGTAGAACATCATTTAAAACAACGAGCGGCTCTCACACCCACATACAAACATTCTCATAACATACGACCTAGATATTCTATACGACATATATTTGCATATATATATATATATATATATATATATATATATATGTATATATGCATTTACCTATATGGTAACTGCTTTTCATCATGTGCATTCCAAACCCAACAGAATGATGGTGAGCACTCCAGCCCCAACAGAAGCGAAACGAGAAACGTACGCAATTAATTGGTGGAAATGTGACGATGCATGCACTTAACAGCAAACGTCCGGAAGTTTTGGGTGACTAAGGCATAGTTTTATGATCTCTGGGGCCATGACCCGTTGACGTATGACAAAAAGAAGAGTCTAAATCAACGCAATATGAAGACATGTGTATATGTGTTATCAGCATCGCTCGTTTCCCACGCTCCGAATGCGTTCGCAACTCAGTCACATATCAGTTCTTTGGACCCTGCACGTTCAGTTATTAAAAAAACCATGTCTTTGCCTCATTTTCAAGAATGCAAATATCTGCTTTTTGGATACGGGCGATTCCTGATCCTGCCGAGAATTCGGATAATCATTCATGGTTTTCCTTTTCAGGACACAGCTAGTCATGATGTACCTTTTGGTACTGACCCTGGCCATCGGGTCAACTCTCGGCCAGGCCCCTTATCGGCCCGACTACAGTGACCTGCGCAGAGGCCAGTACTGCGAGAGGCTGAGAGGGACGCAGCCAGGTGAGCACTCCAAACAGCACTTCGCTTGCGAAGTGAGCACTCCAAACAGCGCTGCACTTCGCCTGGCGACCTTACCGGTGGATCTCAGTTCATAACAAACGTGTGAAAACTAGCTGTGGGCTCCGTACCACACTGTTGATGTTTGTGTCCTCGTTCCAAAGTAAATTCCGGTTTACTGGGCTACATGCCAATCCAAACGGTTGAGCATATTCAAGCATGGTTTAAGCAAGCGTGTTAAGCATTTCTTAGGCATGATTTCCTTGGCAAGTCGCGCGATCTGTTGGAGAGTAGCTTTGGGTCCTGAGGGCTGACAATAAAATATATTCGCTGCAATTGGTTTGTAAAAGCTCATGATATACGACACGACGGACGTATTACCAGGTACGAATAATTGTTTTGCATTTTGGTGTGGCAGGCAGCAACCTTAACGGGAGAGCGGGATCACCTTGGAAAATGGGGAGGGGGAGCTCGCTCAGCCCATTCGGATATATATATATATATATATATATATATATATATATATATATATATATATATATACATATACATATATATGTATAACTTCCGTCCAAGAACCGATGTCTCCCCAGAACGTTAGTAACTGTATTTTGTGTCAGAGACGCATACCATGTAATTTTACATGGTATGTAAAATTACATGGTTTTGTACATGGATGCATGAATTTGCTTTCGTGAAAATTACATTCACCATTTACATGTATTTATGCGTTTATAACGCAACGTATGAATCTCTTGCCCTTCCCCATCACATCAATTTGGGGTAAATATCACATATTCCTGTTCTTTTCTAACAAGGTATGCGAACTGTCTTGGTGTCTACGCTACTTGTTTAGGGTACAGTAGCTGAAATCGTTCAGAAAAGTTTTAAAAAATTGACGTTTCACTTGGTCCTAAATGACCACGCCGGATTACCAATCTTTCCAAAAATGGCAACAGTGCCTCCTATACCTTGTATGCAGATAATCCCTGTTCTGAGCCCGCTGCTGCATTTCGAGTACGTCCCCCTGGTGTTCAACACTCGGGCCTGAAACAGTGCCGCTTCGCCGCTGGCTATTTGCGTCCCATTGCCACCTCGGAGTTTAGTGCTGATTGCAGGGCTCTCAAAGGAGTTGTTCCACATTTAAAAGTACTGAGGAAAGCACTTAGATGAGGAAATGAGCTCACTTTTATTTGTTGTTTTGTTGTTGTTAGTGTTAAAGACTGTTCAGACCACAAAAGTTCACTACGTCGTAAGTGTGCTGCTTAATACATCAGTAACTGATTACGTCATGAAACGTCTGCATGACGTAATGTTGTTGCCAGACTGGCCGTGTTAGAATTATCACTGCAGCCGGTGCACTGACTCACTTGTGGTACTTACATCTCCCGAGAGGTGGCCGTGGTGGCGCTGTAGGTGTTTGTTGAACCAAATATATTGCTCCGCTTTGGCCCTCTATCGTGGTGTTCGTGCAGATTGGTCAGTGATATCTGAAATGTTCACTTGCATTCACATATTGGTTATGGTGCTATTGTATAGCGCAACCCGTGAGCCGCGTTCGAAACTCGGAATGCAGTGAACTGGTTAAGGGTCAATGGTACTCTGTGGATGCTAGATATCGTGCCGATGAATGTCAGAGACGGACAGATGTTGTATTTTTTCTTGACCTTGAGCACCACATGGCCAATGAGTTGCAGTATTAGCGTGACGCCTGTATGTTGTCGTGCATGTCTGTGTGACCTTGAAAAGTCTACACAAGTTCGCAGGCGACAAGCTCAGAAACCAGAGGGTTTTCAGTCTTAAGAAGGGCAGGAATGTAAAATGCACTCAGTGGTCTCCAAACTGGTCATGTCAGCTAAAATCCCAAGCTAAGGTGGAACATTTAACTGTGCCTCTCCGTGCACTGCCTCGAACCACTGAACATCTGGTGCTCCATGATTCTCCCGATCCCAGAGGCGGCCGGGTTACAAGATAGGTAGTTTACAGCTAGTTCCGTGGCACATGCAATAAAAAAAGAGGGTTGTACAACAGTGTGAGATATCAATGAGTGCAGTTTGAGCAATCGCATTGTGGTTATGTCGAGCTCCTTATCACACGACTTGCGCTGTCCGTGCACATTTCGGCACGTTCATTGGTCGAACGATGTTCTTCCCCTTTAACATCACAGACTTCTCCGTTTCCCGTTTTTAGTATGCTGGGTGCGCCTCTGATAGACGTGTCTGAAAAGAGTTTAAACAAATATTTTCAAGTGCATTAAGACCACGTTGTGACGAATCGCTTGCCGTTTTCCGGTAGAAATTCCAACTAGCAATTTTCGAGGTGGCAGTGGCTGACAAAAATTTGTCTGTTTTGTGTGCGTTATCGTACCACACGATATAGCGCACATAAAAGGTCGCTGCGAGGTTGGAAGCAGCAAAAATATATCTGCGCGGGAAAGAGGTTCATTGGCGTCAATCAATCAACCCACATAAGCCATGGGAGGCTGCAAAATGTCGAGGGGCCTGGGACGGTCGAAGACCACGAGACATGATCCGAAATATATCGATGAAGCGTGAGGAGTGATACCTATTTGCTTGAATTCGTTTGCATGTACACGTATGTTCGTACATTCTAATTGTTAGATAGGCACTGTATCGCGGTAATGGTTGGTAATCGCTCTTTGTTTAATCCCCTGAATGTTGGTGTCCTGTATAAAAACTGTGGCTTGCTGTTTTAAAAAAACCTGAAAAATCGAGTAGAATGATCGGTAGGCAATTTTGAATTCACTTTTTGCTATTGTTTCTTTAAAGGCATGTTGCCGAAATATCAGCCCAACTATATCGCCATTCTCCTGGTTTTCCTCCGAGGAATGAGACTAATACTTCTGCCTTAGCTATGCGAAATATACCAAGTTTTTGAAACGGCCAAGACGTCTTGAGATCTTAAAAACATGCAGAAACAGAATTGACGGGCCTCGTTAAGACCTCGTAAAATTTGAAAAGTCCCAGGACTTGAGCCTGTCAGATACGTCTTTCTTGTTAGAGGGGTCTCAGACTGATGATAATTCAGGCACGGCGATTGTGAACAGAGCTTTCTGAACGTTGCGATGGGGCATTTCAGGATAATTCAGTGTCCTTTATCAACAATTCAGAATTTTTCGAGTCAAAAATTGTAGCATCATTCGCTCTCTGCCACTTGTACCATTTAATTTGCATTGAGTTCATCCCCACCTGAATTCGTGATGATCGGCGGACTACATAAACTTGGCCGAGTTGGTTGGTTTTAGGCATCGTAGTTGCGTCACATGAACTTTGAAGTTGGTATGTTGGTGCGACACTCGCCTTGTCGCAATATCAGTTCATGCGTGAATGCATGCGCCTGACGTAGAACGCTGTATGGCGCATGGTCAGTGATTGGCGCTAGAGTATTCACATTTTCAACGTCATCACTTTGGCCCGGTGTCCTTGACCAATAAAACTTTTGTGTAAGGCATTATCACCTTTGTTCTGACGAGTGGTGTCCATGAGCCATGCACCTTTGACTTGGTAACCTTGACATATGCACACCTCCGATCTTGTGACCTTTGTGACGTGGCAGAGTTCTGGTCTGACGACCCTGATCGTCAATGCGTCGAACTTGACATCAGCGCCTTTAAACCTACGCGGTGGCATTAACCTGATTAAAGCTGAGACCCGGCGATCACAGAGGAGACTCTGACCCCTGATGTGGTGACCTGCGTACCTTGCATCGTGCCTTGCAGGGAACTGCTGTCCGGACCGACTGGACGACTGCAGCAGTCCAATCCTGGACACCCTCTGCTACTGCGATGAATTCTGCGACCGTGGCGCCTCTGGCGACTGTTGTCCAGATTACTTCTCCTACTGCCTGGGCGAGAAGGGACCCGATCCCGTGATCGGTACGTGACGTCACTGGGACGGATTCTGAGGCCTGTCCTGGTACGCTTGGCGGCGGCTTCCACCGACATGAAGACAGGCAATGGCACTGTCCTTCGCCAACTGAGGTCACCAATTGTGTGCCGACCGCTGAGGCGGCGTTTTTTTATTATTTTATTGGTAAACTGATGTGCATTCCTTCCTCTTCTGTAGCATGCTACAGACTGATGACGCATGCTTTTTATATGAGAACCGTTAGATTGCCTCATCGCAGGTTATATTTTGGGTGGTGACATTTTGACCATTGGGACGTTGTTTTAAAGTGCACGGTGCCGAAACAAATAAGGGGTTAATTAGGGGCTAAGGAGTTAAACTAGCTCTTCCTATCGTTAACAGTACGCTTTCGCGTCCCTTTTTAGCTGGATGCAATCACAGAGGAAGAAAACTTCTGCCCGAGCAGAGCGTTAAAGAGAACTGCAATATTTGGTGAGCTCATGAATAATCTTGGCCTGTGTCGTGTTCCCTAAGCAACACCCAGGAATACACGCGCTCAAATCTAGCAGTAATGAGTGGGAACGAGCATAAACAATTTTTATTAGCGCGCCCAAAACTGATGACTGTTTTCGCATCATTGGAAAGGTGCCGGCAAATCGTCAGTGGGCCCCGAATGATGATCTTTGATGAAAACATAGCAGCTTGTAAAACCAGAGCAACGACCGTTTGTTAACATATTTGTAAACATGCTTGGGTCCAAATTTCAGAACACCTATAAGACCCTTGTACCCAGCGAAAGATTCGTGCATTCCTTACATTCCTGCCGTGTTTCTAACGTGCTGCTAAATGTGCTGCGCGCAGCAAGTGCGTGAAGGTCAGCGACACGCTCGCCGAGCTGATGTGCGACACCAGCAAGTGCCTAGTGCAGCCGGAGCTGATCGGCGACATCAACAGCCAGGACGCCTACGGCTGGAGGGCCAGCAACTACTCTCAGTTTTGGGGAAAGAAGCTCAACAGCGGCCTCCAGTATCTGCTCGGTACCCGTTACCCCAACGACATGGTGAGCGGCCGGGTGCTGACGTTTCCCCACTTCTGTCCGCGGGAGAATGCCGGTCTGTCATATGTCTTCAGGAGAATGTCTTCAAACCTGTTATCGTTCATCCATGTTGTGCAAAATGTACTAATGACTGGTTAATTTATCAATTTGGGACGCGTGTTCCTCGAAGCAGATATTAAGCTGTGGGTCCCAGATATCCCTATCGCAGTACTATTGTGCTTAATGCTACAAGCCTTTCTTAATGGCAACCCATCCATCCCGCTGCTTGCTGTAGATACCGCACATCTGCTTGTTTATAATATCTGCGTTCTACGCACGCATTGTCTTTCTGCAAATATCGACGGCGCATATAATGCATACACCTTTTTGACGAAGGTGTTCAGCTTCAGCTGTCTCCTTTTCCTGTCGCAGATCAACCAGATGTACCCCATCACGAAGGTGTTCGACCCGAGCCTGTTGCCGCGCTCGTTCGACGCCCGCACGAAGCGCGAGTGGCGAGGCCTGATCGGGCCGGTGGAGGACCAGGGCTGGTGCGGCGCCTCGTGGGCCTTCTCCACGGCCACCACGGCCGCAGACCGGCTGGCCATCCAGAATCCGGGCCGTCGGCGGCTCGACTTCAGCGAACAGAACGTCATCGACTGCGGCTACGTGCGCGACGACGGCTGTCTGGGCGGCAACCTCGACCGCGCCTGGAACTACTTACGCCGATTCGGGTCAGTGACAGGCGTGCCGTGACAGATGCCATGTGACAGGTGCCGTGCCGTGACAGAGCCATGTGACAGGTGCCGTGCCGTGACAGATGCCATGTGACAGGTGCCGTGCCGTGACAAGTGCTGCAGCACATGTGCCGTGCCGTGACAGATGCCGTGTGACAGGTTCCGTGCCGTGACAGATGCCATGTGACAGGTGCCGTGCCGTGACAAGTGCTGTAGCACATGTGCCGTGCCGTGACAGATGCCGTGTGACAGGTTCCGTGCCGTGACAGATGCCGTGTGACAGGTGCAGTGCCGTGACAAGTGCCGCAGGACAGGCGTGCCGTAGGACAGGTGTCGTACCATGACCAATTCCGTGTGGCAGGTGCCGTGCCGTGACGGGTGCCGTGTGACAGGTGACAGATGCCGTAGGACAGGTTTCGTACCATGACAGATGCCGTGTGGCAGGTGCCGCGTCATGACGGGCAGACGCGACATGCGTGCTTCACCGTCTGATGCGCCGACGTAAAGACATTTCTATTCGTCATCGACTTCAAGATCTTGTGATTCGCCATCGACGCTTGAAGCTGCTGTACGGCTATCAGAGATGCAACTCTCGCAGCGCCGTCGTGATGGACCCAGAGAAATAGTCACGTAACGCGTGTGTTTTCTTAAACTCAGGTGTCACGATCTCAGGCGCGCTGTGTTCTCAATCGCGCACGCGCACGCTACCCCACAAGCAGATTACCTGGAGGGGGAGAGAAAGGGGGGTGGCAAACACTCGGGGATGAAGTGGTTTGAAAAGAGCGTGAACAACTTGATATGGGAATGGGTACATTTTAGCGACCTTTTTAACTTTAATCGTAAATGCCAAGGAGCATGGACTTGCATGGCAAAGCTCTGTCAGTCACTGGGCGGAGAAGTCGAGCTAGCTGAAACTGCTCAGGTGGCGGCCCCTGAAACGGCCTGGAACCCCCTGGTGAAGCCCGGTGTTCACGTCGGTTAGTCATTCACCGCTCTGTTAATGCTTGTGTCAGTTGCCACGCACTGAGCATAACAACCTGCTCACGGCCTAAACACTGATTCTAACAGCTAGCGCGGAGACCGGTTGCTGATGTCAGATCACTGACAAACAATCTCTGGACGCGATGACCTGAATCAGTGTTTGAAAACATTTATACAGAAATATACACCCTCCTTTGAAGGATTCTTCGTGAAGAAACGGATCGAGACGTGAGGTACCGAGTCAACCAAATTGGGTTTAGTGCAGTTGGCGATTGCATTGCATGCATGCTTCCGTATTTTAAAACCGTGGTTCACGTTCCGCAGCTTTCCACCAAATTCGCCCCTCAGTTTCACGCACGCAACCACCACATTACATGCCTGGCAAAACGCGACGTTAACATTATTTCTCCCGCTCCCTGAACATAGATGGATCACGCGCGCAACACCTTGTTGGTTATCCCGTCTTGTCCTCTTGGCCAAACGTCGTCAACACACCACATGATTATTACGGTCTCGTTTGGTTTTGTTTACTATTGAAACAAGCATGTTTGTTATCGACGGCTACGTCACGAGGGTTGGTGCACCGTTTAGCGAGTGGCATTAGGGTATTGGGGAGACAGCATTTCAGTCCATTTGACGCCTCTCGGATCTGGCTCTTGTTTTTGAACACACCGCTACGCCTGACAGATTGCCGGCATTGTGGAATGTACCCTTTTCCTGGGACTGCATTTGTCCCTTGCGGAGTGTTCCCGTCTGTGCCCGTTCCGCAGTGATCCACTCATTGGCGTCCTGCCACGGCTGTGAGTCGCTTGTAATGGCTTTCTCTCAGGTTTTCAAACGTCGGTAAAACACAATGCAGCAATTTTGTAGCTTCGCCTCTCGCCCGGTGCCCCGGCCACACCCTATCTGCAGTTTTGACACTGCTTGCTTAAGCATATTTGTCATATGGTAGGAAAAATACCAGCGCACTGTAGTGCATGCGACGAAATCTGGGCGCGTTGCAACGGGCAGATGCAGGAGGAACCACCAGGATTCTGACCTCCAATATACTGCAACGTAAGCAGACTTTTATAGCTCATTTCTAGGAATTGCATCGGCATGTGGGGTTTGCGGTCGCACCAGGCTTGCTGCTGTATCTCTTTTTCTGTGTTGTCATGACAACTGTCAGACTCTTTTCCATTTGCTTGGACTTGGCTGGCAGACAGTATTGACAATTGCATTTTTTGGTCACACACAGAAATTTCGAGTTAGGTTGAAACAGACAGTTCACTTTTAGTCCAACCAGGTCGGGACTGCGTAGTTCTGCATAACATTAAAGAAAGGGTAGATAGCTATCTAGAATGCATCCGTATCGTTCACTCTAGCCTCAATGCATCTCACCGTTAGAACTCGGCGTGGCAACAGCTGCGCGTGATGAATAATTCGTAATTTATCAGTTAGCTTTGCGTTATGTTTCAAAACAACGAAAAGAATTAAGCATGATCTCAAAGCATTCATTCTAAACGTCGGAGTGTTCTGGTCGTGTGGCTTGCATTCCTTGCATCAAATGACGTTCTTCGTGTAATGTCGCGTACTGGCTTTATTTTCGGATGGCAGAATGAGAACTCATAGCGAATGAAGGGCGGTTAAGGGGTATGTAGGTACACCATTGAAATGACTAAGTGGAACATTCCAGAGAGAAATATTAACCTTCAGGCCAAGCATTACCTATCATTTAAAGAGCATTCGAGTAAATTTCTTTAGTCTTTTACTTTTATTTTCTTCCCCTTAAAATGTATCTGGTTTTGTAGAGTGTGAATGTGATTGAGCACCGACTTCCGAGTATGTGAAGTGTGTTCCATTATACCAATTTGAAGTGGCGAGACGCTTAAGGCCGTCTCACCACGCTGGATGGCCGTCAATATATTGCGTTCACATGGCGGAAGCAAGGCCGCGTAAGAGAGGTGAAACATCCCGGTGATTTTCGCTTCACCTTCTCCCGACGTTCAGCGTGACGTCACTGGTGCTGAGATTTTAATGCGCGCTGGGCCGCTAGGTGCCGGGCGTTTTGCGGGCAACCGGAGCATCAAAATATTCGTACAGATAACGCAAAATCCGTCACCGGGAGGTGCACGTGACCAGCGAGCCGGCTTCGTAGACCTTTATGTCGAACATGATACTGTGCTTTGTAAACCCGTGCGGCAAACCATCAAAATCCAACAGCCTGAGAGGTGAACATGTACACGCGAAACTTATCTGCCATAAGGCGGCAGGGACGTCGGGCTGTCTTCGTTCCGATAAGAAAAACAATTGTCAGTAGCGTACGTGACTTGTTAGTAGATGTACGTCACCAGCGAGCTTGTTGCATAAAATTTAGCGGCTAGTACGATGATGTACGCGGCAGACATTACAATGCATTTTGATCTTACACGGCCTTACACTCCGTGGTTATGCCGCCGCCGGTGGTGCAAGTGTGTGGTGAGCGTGGCGAGTCCGTTGTTTAACAACGTTGACTATATAACTGTTGAATAACTGTTGAATTTATGTGTGTTTCATAAAACTGGCAGTGCGCTTCAACAATTGCATTAACTCTAGCTCTGAGATTAGTTTGTTTGTGCATCACGTTCAAACAAAGGAGCGAAGGGTCAAGAGACAGCAAAGGGACAAGGGAAAAAGGGGCCTAAAAAAATGGGCGACCCGCGCCTCTTTGTGAGCCTGGTTCATGGCTCGCTGTGTTTTGGCGTCCGTTGCCACTTGTTCGGTTTTCCGCGGCGACATCGGTGCCGCATAATAAAGACGGGCTTTCTGTATTAATTACAGTTCCCCATAGCGCCGCTACTTCACCCTGTAAAAAAACAATCAACAATCAGTGCTCAGCGTAGGACGCCAGCCGGCCGCCGCATAGGCGCAGGTGAAAAGTAATGCGGGGGCTCATCCTCCTTCCTAGTACCTGTGCTCTTTAGTAGGCGTATTCACTACCACGCCGACTGAATTTTAACGACTTTGTTGAATGTGAGCTCGCAAAGCACATGCTCCTCCTTGCCATTGAATTCCACCTGATCGGCTCGTGAATATGCGCACCTACCATTAATAGTCCACTTGTTGCTGGTAAGAAGGCAGCCCGGTGTTCAATACGTATTGCGCGGGCAGCTTGCACGTTTTTGTTTTTATGCCGATTTCATCTTAGCCGCCAGGCATAAACAATTGTAATTGGCAGATCACCAGGGCATTTAATGCATGTGAAATCATGCAACGAAACATGATGCAGCATAATACAATGCATTTAATACATACGACATCGGAACATTTAATACACCGTAACTAGGGCCCGGGGGATTCCGCCTAGCGTAACCAGGGGTTCCGCCCAGCGTAACCAGTGCGAAGCCAGGGGAGGCGGAGGGTTGGCAGTTCAACAAAGTAATGACGTAATATATGGACGATTAAAGTGCTGTTCAGTCATATGCAGTGCTACAATACTGGCATACAGCGCTGGTCGTAAACACTGATTGTTTGCTTTGCCCAACAGTGCCAAACTGACAAACAGATTAGAAATGTTCCTATGGTACTGCCTCAACCTTAAAATAAACTCTGGTATTGTAGCGGCCCTTTGATCCAATGCAGCCGAGGAAAGCCACAGTGCGGTCCTCACACGTTAGTCTGGCACGGCATCAGCTCGATCCGAACCCTCTACACGGCACCAGCTCGATCCGAACCCTCTACACGGCACCAGCTCGATCCGAACCCTTTACACGGCACCAGCTCGATCCGAGCCCTCGACACGGCACCAGCTCGATCCGAACCCTCTACACGGCACCAGCTCGATCCGAACCCTCTACACGGCACCAGCTCGATCCGAGCCCTCTACACGGCACCAGCTCGATCCGAGCCCTCGACACGGCACCAGCTCGATCCGAGCCCTCTACACGGCACCAGCTCGATCCGAGCCCTCGACACGGCACCAGCTCGATCCGAGCCCTCGACACGGCACCAGCTCAAGCCGAACCCCTACACGGCACCAGCTCAAGCCGAACCCTCTACACGGCACCAGCTCGATCCGAGCCCTCTACACGGCACCAGCTCGATCCGAGCCCTCGACACGGCACCAGCTCGATCCGAGCCCTCGACACGGCACCAGCTCAATCCGAGCCCTCGACATGGCGCCAGCTCAAGCCGAACTCCCTACTCGGCACCAGCTCAAGCTGAACCCTCTACACGGCACCAGCTCGATCTGAGCCCTCGACACAGCACCAGCTCGATCCGAGCCCTCGACGCGGCACCAGCTCGATCTGAGCCCTCGACACGGCACCAGCTCAAGCCGAACTCCCTACACGGCACCAGCTCGAGCTTAACCCTCTACACGGCACCAGCTCGATCCGAGCCCTCGACACGGCACCAGCTCGATCCGAGCCCTCGACACGGCACCAGCTCAAGCCGAACCCCCTACACGACACCAGCACAAGCTGAACCCTCTACACGGCACCAGCTCGATCCGAGCCCTCGACACGGCACCAGCTCAAGCTGAACCCCCTACACGGCCCCAGCTCAAGCTGAACCCCCTACACGGCACCAGCTCAAGCTGAACCCCCTACACGGTGATCGACCCCGTGGCACAGCCCGACCGTAAGCTGAAACCAAGTACAAATGATGCGGTTTGAGAACCACTCCAGTGCCGCCAGCTCCCAGTCAGGGATTGCAGTGTACGACGCTGAACTACTGATAACGCTGTCTGCGAGATTTGGAACGTAGAATCTTTGACTAGAATGTTAACGTGATTATGGTCTCTATTGCTCCATGTTTCTATCAAAGGCCAGTTTCGACCCCCACGGGCATTGGTGCCATTCATTCACTGGTGGGGTACTTCATGAACAAACCAGCGGCGGGTGAAGGGGGGGGGGGAGGAGTGGAGGGCGATAGTGACCGGTCACCAGTGACGGCATTGGCCTGTATAAGGTGGCGCGGGCTGACCTGGGGAAAATCACCTGGCAGCAGTCCCCTGGAAGTGCGCCGTAAGATCCCAGGAAATGCGGACAGGTAACGGTCCAGTGAGGGTGGCACAGTTGGCACAGTTGATTGTGTAGCCGAGGGTGACGGTGCAGATGATGCGGTGAGTCAGATAGCTCAGTCGATCCAGCTGGGTCTGGTTCTGAATTGCGTTTACGAATACCAAACCAGTCTAAAACGAGTCCATTAGGCTGAAAAAATGTCAAACATAGGGACTTCTTACAATATTTAAACCGCTTAGTATTTTCGGATGCCACTTTATGCTTTTCTACCGGCAATGATAAATCCATGTGTGCATCAATTTACATGGCAAAATGTGCATTGGTCTTAAATATTGAGGCGGCATGAGGGTAAAGGTGCTCGCATCCATAAACCTAATCTGACATTATCGGACACGTGACTTGCAGAATAATGCTGCCGCGAATCCCATCTGCATGGAAAAATGTTTGTGCCCAATGAGATACATTGTGGTAGTTGTACGCTTTCGAAATTCCTTTATAGGATTATTTCCAACGGTGCTTCGACAACGGCTTCTGAACAATTTGCTAAAGAGAACTACGTCTGTGAGGGCGTGGCGAGCGAGTCTTACGTGAACTATTATTTTCTCACTTGTCCGCCCCATCGCATCCGTTACGCTGCCCAGAACCGAATGTATTTGCAACCTCTGGACGCAGGTTCAGGCAGCTCTGCCTGCCCATGGTGTGAGGCAGCTGCGGGCGCACTGCTTCACCAAGAACTAAGATAAATCAGACGAAGTCCGTTTTTTTTCACTGACACTCCACTGACCTTCAGCCGTGATGGCTCATACAGTGCCAAGCCATTCATCAAACCCATGGCTGCACTGCCCCCCCCCCCCCCCCCCGCTCCCCCCGTATGCGAAGAGCTCGGCGGTTAACTTCACATACGGCTGCTTTCAGGGGAGAGTGAGAAATTGATTATTTTCTTATCGAATGAATACCCATATTTAATGGTCAAACACGTGCAATTCGAAAAAGCATGCGTTACGGAATGATGAGTCAAAACAAAAAATAATAACCTCAAATGATAATGATGAGCTTACCATTTGTCAACGGTGCATTTTCCAAAAACGCGAATGCCGCAACCTCAGCTTTCAAACACCCATTTCCAGTAGCTTGGGAAAACGATAAAACGCTATCTGAAGCACTGTGCGGGCTGGCACTTCTTCACTCTCTGAAGGTAACATCACTCCATCATGACACTGCGTGTTTTCTTGGGCAGACAAAACGTCTTGTGATAGGAAATTAATTAACACATGAGAGATGCGAGTATTTAATTTTATTCGTGTGTTTCTGCTTGCATAGCAGATTGCTCGTTGTCTTTGACATGATTTTATCTGCGAATTATTAGTCTTCGAAAACAAATAAGTGGATCTCCGCATATTAACTACTCACGAAAGATATGCTTTGCAACATATCGACCAAGCTTAACAGTATCGGATGCTGAAGCTGTCTGGTTCTGTAAGCTCAGTTTTTGGCATATTGCACATGATGACAGCCGACAGCCCTCACATATATATTATCGTCCAGCTGGTGCCACGCCGTACAAGACGTCTTGCGCCTTGGGACCAGCTGGACGATAACATATACGTGTGGAGTCTGCAGGACTGTCTGCGGTCTGCAGTGCTGATGGGCTGTTAGGTGGTGCGGGGTTCTGATTACATGGATCTTGAGTCGAAGCAGGGCAGCACTCGGTTCATGATATTGTACGCAAGTGGGGTTTCCTGATATTGGGTTGAGGCTGGGTGGGCGTGGTTGAGTTCCGTGCTTTTACGGGTTGGGTGCTAGCTCAGTTGGGG